GGAGGGGTGGAAACGAAACGAAACGAACCTACAAAGGCCACAAGTCACCGACAAGACTCCGGGGTTATCCATCTTGCTTCCGATACGCCTTGGCCTTATCCCTTATCCTCGGCGACTCGCCTCGCCTCGCCTCCGATTATGCTTATGCACAAAACTCTGCCAAAGTGTCGTGCTCATCATTATCGCTTTTGTTTCAAGCTGGATCTGCTGCTGCTGCTTCTGCTGCTGCTGCTTGCCCGCAGCGGCTAAAGAATCCTTTGCTCCTTTGGCGCCGTCCTGACACTTTTGTGACATTGTGCAAATGAATAATTGTGCTTTTCTTTGCTTCTCCGACCATCACAGCCAGCCAGCCAGTCCACCCAGTCCAGCCAGACCAAAGTCCCGACCACAACAACTGCACATCCGTTCCACATCGCTCGCTCAATGTCTCATCATCATCATCCTCCTCCTCATCATGATGATGATCATCATCATCGTCGTTGTCGTCGCCTTCATTGTCGTCCCAGTTGTCGTCGGGCACGTTGCTCATTCGCTGGGCCGTTGCCTTCACCATCATCATCATCATCATCATGGCCGGCACAGCCTGCCCAGTCCTGCCTTGTCCTGTTCTGTGTCCTGTCCTGTTCTGTGCTGGCCTCGTGCTTCTTCTGGCCTGCTCCTGGCCTGCCTGGGCCGTCCGACCACAACAAAACAAGCAGCTAAACAGTCGCTTAGCCAGCCCGACTACTGACCCCTTTTCAATGGACATCCGCTGGATATGGCCATTGCCATGCTCCTCCGCCTTCGCCTGCCCCTCCGCCTGCCGTCCAACATCATCTTCCCATCCCATCCCATCTCTTATTCCATCTGCACTCCACTTCTCCACGTCTCCATTGCCAGCGTTCAGCGTCAGAGTCGCCGCTGTTTGCCATTCATTTTGTTTCTGTTTGCGCTTTGATTGACGGAGCTGCGCTGAGAGCTAGGAGCCAAGAGCTAAGGGCCAGGATCCGGGAGCCGGGAGCCTGGGGGCCAGGAGGCAAGAGCTGAGCTGAGCTGCATGTCCTTGCGCTTGTCCTCTCTGGAAAACCAATGCCAGTGCGCTTTCCCAGCATTATTAATGATTTTTCCAAAGTTTTCGCTACATTTTATGCTACATCTTCTGGCCCGTTGGACTCTCGAGTCTGGACTCGGACTCGGACTCGCACCGGACTGGAACTGGACCTCTCTGGTTGCTGTTTTGTTGCTGCTGTTGTTGCTTTTGTTGCTGGCTTGCTCGTATTGTTGATTGTTCTTTTATCTGGTCTCCGTCAATTCGTTGCGTCATATTGCTGTGTTCCATTTGACTTTGGGTTTTGAATTTCCGCCATCTCCCAGTGGTGGATATCCTGCCACCTCCGCTGCTGCCACTTCCCCACCAGCAAGCGCCACTCCAGGTCCTGGTCCACGACCAGGTTCTGTTTCAAGCTGCTTCTGGCTTGGTGTTTGGCCAACGTATTACGCTTATTTGCCCAGTTTCGGTTTCCCCTGGACAACATCGTTGCTGCCTTTTTGCATCCTCTCTGTGAGTTGATGTTCCGTGCCTCCGCCTCCATCTCCGCTTCGCTTCCGTTTTGCTGCTGTTTTGGCCTTTGTTTCGGCTTGAGTTTCTGTGTGCTGGCTCGCCATTTCCTTCTAGATAAATACTTGTCAATCAGTTATTAATTGCTTTTCAAATTTATTGAATTTGCGGTTGCTTGCAATTTGGCTTTGCTTCTTCTCCGTTGTTGTTGTTGTCGTTGTCGTCGTCATCGTTTTGCTTCTTTGGGGGTTTTTTTTGCTTGCTCCCCGTGATTGGCAGAAAAGTGCTTGGAACGTTTTTGTGCTGGTTGTGGTCGTGGTCCTAGTCCTAGTCCCATCCCCATCCCCCATCCCCAACCCCTTTCAGCATGTCAACTCAAGGTTCATTAAGCCGAACATTTGTGCAATTTGCAATTGCCCTGCCCTGAAAGTCACTCAGGCTCGATGCGAATCGATTTGGAAGCATTCTCCAAATTTGTAACAAATTAGCAGCAAACCAAAGTAAAAAGGGGTAGCCATACATACATACATACATAGTCGTATAATGGAAATGGAATGCACATCGATGCACACAAACGATGCAGAAGTACAAGAATCTCAAAGGACAATGCCATTGTCGTGATATTGAGACAATAATTGAATGTGACTACTCGAGACGCACATAATTGGTAGTACACACATATACATACATATGTACATGTATGTGTGTAAGTTAAATTCTGACCAAAGTTTTTAGTGGTCTAAACATTCATTTGCATTGCTGAAGAAGGATTGTTAGATTTTCCATCACAGTGTCATTTTGCTGTGCCATCTCGGCGGAGGAGCATGTAAAGCAATTTGGCTTTCCACATGCCAGCCATTTGTTTGCACGCCTTTCATTTCCAAGGCGAATTTGGCCGCATTGCAATTTTGATAGCGCTCGTTAATTGCATTTTCTTTGCCGTGTGATAGACAAGACGCGATGTGATGTGATGTGGCACGACCTGATGGGATGGGGTATGCGGGATGGGGTATGCGGTATGGGTACACCATGTGGATGTGGATGTGGATGAGGACAAGGAGAAGACATTCAGATGTGTCAGTTGCGACAGCAACAAAGCGATATTTAACCAAAGTGACGTGCGGAGAAGAGGCAGTGACACAGAGGCAGGCACTGAAACAGAAACCGAGACACAGGCAGGAGGCAGCATGCAGCAGGCAGCAGGCAGTAGCAGTGGTGGTAACCGTAACAGTGCGCGTGAAAGGTATGCAACCGCAGGACAACAAACACTTGCGCAACAACAACGAAATGCAATTAGCAAATAGATGTGGCCAGGCAGTTGCCTGGCAGTTGCAGAGTTGCGACCGCACTGCCGTCTGCCTCTCCCCCTCTCTCTCTCTCTCTCACTGTCTGTCTGGATGTGTGTGTGTCCACATACCGAACCCATCTACATTTCATTAAATGTGCTGCAATGTTTATTAAAATGCACAAAATAGTTTTTAAAAACAAGGCTCGGTGCAGTGTTGGGGCTGAGCCGACAGGGCAACATGGTTGGTGCCCCATGTTTATGGGACAGAAGGCAAGAACAAGAACAATATGTTTCACATTTTATGCTCTGCTCTGCTCTGCTCTCGAGTGCTCAGCACCAGCAGCACAACAGCCCAGATGAAAGCAATGGACTCTGCGCCTCACTAACTTCAATTGCCATAGCCCATAGCCATGGCCCATGCCCGGAGCTAGAGCTAGTGCTAGAGCGACAGTCCCCAGAGCAGAGGCATACACGAGTATTAAAAGCCACAACTTTCCCATAGTCACCCCCATATGGACTGTCTTGCCTCTGTCCGCCTTTTATAGCTGCTAAAATGCATGCAACATATGCATATGGCCTCATTGCTGTTGGTGTTGCTCTTGTTTCTTGTGCTGCTCGTGTTGCTGTTGCTTTTGCTTTTGCTGTTGCAGTTGCTGTTCGCGCATCTGGCAACATCTTGTTGAGCTGTCAAAATATGCTTGTTAACAACATTTGTTGCACCGCAACAGCAACAGCATCAGCCACACAGCAACAATGCAAATACGAGCACTTCAACAATGCCTAGCCCCAGAGGGGGGGAACGTTGAAGAGGCTGTAGGCTGTTGGCCAAGTCTAAAAAGCCAAGAAGAGTGCAGCTGCATTATCCTAAACATGTTTGCACGCAAAACGGCAACTTTCCAGCAGCAGGCGCGCTTTAGAAGCTGCTTTCCATTTAATTTCTGACAGCCAGAGATTTTTAGTTTAAAAGCGACAAAAATAATCAGGGAAATTGCCGTTTTTCTGGCATGTTGTTCAACTTTATCTCATGGTAAACTTTCCATAAATAGCCAATGGAGTCGAGCGTCAAGCGTCGGGCGTTGAGTATGGGGAATGCCTCATCTCGGGTACGAGTCCGGAGTCCGGGCGAGAAATATGCATGAGTATGTGCGAGCAGACGCCTTGGGCGTGCGTTTGTCTAATAGATCAGCATCAGCAGCAGCAGCAGCAGCATCAGAAAGCAGCAGCTCAAATGTGCTTTCAGGCCATTTATCATCTGTGCTGCTGCTGCTGTCCGCTGTCTGCAATTTCAGCGACTGGGCGGCGCGTTCGTGTTGCAGCCGCCCCAGCAAAAACAGCAACAGCTCAGCTGCAGCCTCTGACCATGTCTCTGGCGCTGTCCCTGTTCTGCCACTGCCCCTACCCCTGCCACGGTCTCGTCCAGCGCCTCCGAGTAGCCTCCGGCATGGGCTTGAAATTCGAGCAGCGTGCGCGCACAAGGTGTCTACTTTTCAACGCCCCAGCCCAGGCTCCAGCTCCAGCTCCAGTCCTCATCTATGGTCTGGACTAACCGCTAATGTTTCTGGCAACCGGCTGCTTGTCGACTGCTGGATTGCCGGCTGTGGGTCGGGTCTGGTCTGGTATGGTCTGGTCAGCCCGGAGTCTGCTTCATTTACACTGAAATTATTCTGCATAAATCATTTTAATGTTGCGTGATTTTTAGACGGCCTTTTAGCGTCTCCCGAATGTCACTTAAAATCTGGCACATTAAAGCACACAACAGGAGGGCAGGCCAGCCAAGCGAGGGCTGCCCCAAAAGATACATAAATCAAAAATAAATTAACTCACGACGCTGTCTGCCACTATTTTTGAATGAAATTTCAGCAATCGGGTAAAATGCTGAGGGCACAACCAGCCACAGATAAATAACTGAAGGTAAGCTTTAAAGCTTGTGAAAAAGGAGATGAAAATAGTGTCAGACTACACCTGCCCTGTAATTTAATTATTGCAAACAACTGACTCGAGTGTGGAAAGTTTATTACCAGGAATAATCCTGGTCCAACCGTCAGGAGTGGAGTTCAAAGTTGGCTCGAAAATTCCTTTGACCAATTAAGACTACAGTGCTAGCCGAAAAGGGGTGAACACTCGATATGCAGATGTAAAAATTTAAATGTATGTTGGAGTTTTAATATGTTTAAATGCTTCACTTTTAAACTATTTCTGTATACACTTGATAAAAAAATATATTGGTGTAAAATAATGGTTTGAATATTAGAATATACATTTCAGCATTCTCCCAGTGGGTGTTAGGTTAATGGTTAGATATAAAACTCTATAAAATATCATTTATTTGCGATGGTTCCTTAGCCGGGGAAGTTAATGAACTGCCCTCGCTGGCTGAAGCAACCAAGATTAGAGCTAAACTTTTCATTTTTATTGTGTCTCAGCATCTGCTGCCTGACGAGACGGCGAGGCGCACTTAATACATAATTCGGGTGCACATTATAATTACAGACGCTGCCGCATAACCATAACATTTTGGGCACAGCAGCCGTGTTCCCAAACAATCCATCCTGCCTTCAGCAATCCGAGGCAGATCAAAGCATACACCCACATGACTGGATACCACGAGTACGAGTACGAGTACGAGTGTGAGTGTGAGTGCGAGTGTGTGCCACACATGATGTACTCGTACTTTGAAGTTGATTTACTTCAGCTTCGAGTTGGCGTTCGCGGGAATCACATCTTTGAGTTCGCAGCACAAATGATACTTTGTTGTCCGTGTTGATGTTGATGTTGCCGCGAAGGAATGCCGCATGCCACACCATGCCACACAATGCCACACCATGTGAAACAGAGGGAAGAAATTTCATTAGAATTAGAGCCATTCAATTGTTATTGCTGTTGCCAGACAGTTTTATTCGGTCCCACGCCCTATGGCCCACCCCCCCCTAATGGCTTTTCCAACTTACGCCGTCACGCTTGGGCCTGCAGCGGGATCTCTGCAGGAACCGCATTACGGTGGGCGGCATGTGCTCCTTGTACATCGCGTATTCGCGCAGGACGAAGCGGCAGGCGCTGAAGTGCACACACTGGCCGGGGCTCTTCTCGGGCGTCTGGCAGCTGGGCTCTACACCGGACAGAACAGAAGACATTCAGCAGAGTACTGTTATTCCGATCTATGCATTATCAATGGCCACTGCCAATGCCAATACGGGGCCAGACTGTCGCTTACGTGTGAGGCACAATGACGGCAGCAGGATGACGAGCCACAGCAGAATCAATCGAAGTGTGTGCCGCATTGTGAATTTACAATTTGGGCAGGAAGCAGTTGCTACCGGAGGCGCAAACGATGATGGGATTGAGAATGCTGATGATGTATGCGGATGCACAATATGTATTAAAGTCGCGTTAAAGTCTTAAAAGCTTTAAGCGCCGAAAACTGACTCAACTCTGCCTCTGCCTCGAAGAGTGGAACTCCGACTGAAGCTTGGACCGGGTGCTGGGTTCTGGGTTCTTGCGGGTGCTGGCTGTGTTTTGTGTGCTGTGTGCCTGGCAGCAGATTGTTGCTCAAGTAAACAGCTTGGACTGCTGCTGCGACTGGGACTGGGTCTGATGCTGGGGCTGGGACTGAGGCTGGGGCAACTTTTGATAAGCGAAACCATAGTGGGGGGCTGGCGCGCTTATCGACGGCGTGCAAAACAAGAGGCCAAAAAAATATGAACATAATATGTAAGCAAAGCACACAGATACGCACATACACATACACAGCCGCATGCCACACACAGCATCCATAAACACATGTTTAAGGCGGCGCGTACCAGTTTGAACCTATGCAGAGAGGGTGTTAGCGAGAGAGAGAGAGAGAGAGAGGGCGGCGACGGGCCGGGTTGTGTGGGTTAAACGTAACGAAAGCAAATGGAAATTTATTATACATATATATGTAGATATATGGGAAAGTTGAAAATGAATTCTAAGCGCAGGGAAAGTGGCAGCTGTGCCGCAGCTGAAGGACGAAGGAATCGACTCGATCTGAGCGGGACTCCGGCAAAAGAGTCGAGTCACCCGCTGTCTCCCCTTATTCATGCCCCCCCACCATGGAGGAGGCTGGAAATTTTCCAATATAGCTGTCAAAATAGCCCTATTCCGGTTTGATTGATGGAAACCAAGGCAGGTAAGCCAACTTGTAAGCAGCTTACCGCAGACAGAGAGAGAGAGAGAGAACTCCTAATTAAGTATCCTTGAGGCGCATCCACATTGTGAACACATCCATTGTTCAATAAATACCAATTTATGCCCTCACTTTGTTCACTCCCCCCCATGGCCCCATGGATTTAGATTGCCCTGTCTCCGCATGCTGAGGCAAGAGTCCCGAAATCACAGTCAAATTCAATTTCATTCCCAACACAAGCACACATGTAATATGCATGCCCCTCCTCCAACATACGTACATACATATGTACATATGTATGTACGAGTGGTGTATGGCTCATATAGTTTGCCTGCCAAGAGTGGGGGGGAAATTTTAATAAAAATGTAAATTTTTTAGTTGCCTAAGGGGTTCCTGGCACATGCGAAAACCAATAAAAAAGTATTGCTCGTTATGAACTTGGCGGCAGTTTTTGTGGCCAATACCACGCGCAGCAATCCGAGCCATTCAAAGGCATCCCATCCCATCCCATCCCGTCCGAAGCCATCTCCACTAACAACCAGCCACCAGCAACCAGCCAAAGGTGCACCCAATTCCCCATCTTGAGCATCAATTTGCCGGGTTAAAGTTTCCGGCTCCTTTCGAATGTCAAGCCAATTTGCGGATATCTTCTCGGAATGAGCTCTCTGCTCTCCCAACGAGTGCGATCCATAAAATTGGAGTTTTATCAAATTATAATTGGAGCCATAAAAGAAAGTTTTTATTTCTCTTAATATTTAAATATGTATTCCCAGTTCTTTCATTGCTTTTTATTCCTCTTTCGACCGTATACTGAAAGCCGCAGATGCAGACTACTTCGATTTAGTTATCTGCATTATTTAAAGTCTGCCTGAGTATGCCATACAATCGTAAATGGGAGCTTCTGGGAACTCGTTGATTGTTGGCGAATAAAAATAATAATAGAGCAGTTTTAAAAGCATTTTTAAAGCGTTTCCAACCCAATATTCCCATATCAAATATAAGTAATACACTAGTTAAGTTTTCCAGAAAAATATACAATTTTTCAAGCATAAATTTTATTTTTTTATTTTATTTTATTAGGTTTAACCTTTATTTTATTTACTCATATATAATTTTATTGGAAAATGCTGTAATAATATTTCTTTTAATAGACAAGAATAAACTTAAAATACTGACAATTCCTGTCATTTTAGGGACCATTACAACTACTATATAGTAACCGCATGAACAACTTTTTTTGAAAGATAAATCTATTAAAATTCGCTTGAATCCGTCACTCCTATTTCACGTTTATGACAAGTAACAAAGGCTTTTGCTAACAATGCTTTTTCTTTTGTTGCATTGCTTTGAGCGCTGCATCCAGAAGATAAGAAGTTTTGATATTTTCCATTCATATTTCGTGGAATTTGAAAGTATTTCATGCAGTGCCATGCCTTACCTTCCAATTTATTTCGTTGTTTTAATCGGTATTATGACAGCCGACTTAAAATGGGAATCTGTACATAAAGTATGAAAAATAATGATTGATTTAATGGACATCGAAACATTATCGAAGGCATTGCAAAAGACGTGGCCCAGCAAGTGTTGACAGAGCCATTTGATGCCCCATAAAACCAGCCACATCATTAAAAACCCTTCCAAAATAAATATTGACACTCCGCTTACTAAATGGTTGGGGAGCGGAGCTCTCTTCCCCTATCCACTTTTCCCCTGTTCCCTTTTCTCTGCACATCGCTCACACATGTAAGCGTTTAAGTACGATATTTAGATATGGGTACGAAAACATGCCGGAACCGAGGCATAAAAACCGAAATGCGCATAATAAAAAGCCATCGTCATAGACTTCAACTTCGACTCCAACCCAATGGCCCCATAACCATTGCCCACAGCAATACTCTCACACTCACTCCACCCCCCACCCGCACTCATTCGGATACTCAAACTCAAAGTCATAGTCATAGCCATAGCCGTATCCATAGCCATTTCTATATGTATGTAGCTATAGCCGGCGCAGCCCTTTTACAGATGTGCGATAAAACAAGGGGCAGGGCAACAAAAGGCATCGGAAAATATGAGAAACAAAGCATAAAATAAAACACTTCGGAACTTCGAGTTGACAATTTGAAGACGCCAATAAAGTTTCCTACGCTCCCCATTTGAGTCGTTCTGGCTGTCTGTTTGTTGCATGATCCGGGCTGCTAGTGTTTTCGTTTTTGTTTTTGTTTTCGCTTTCGCTTTTCCTTTTCCTTTTTCACCAATAAAAATTCTTTGGAAATCATTTAGGAAAACGCATGCATGCACATCATGTGCAAGCCCACGCCCACGAAATCCCCGCCCCCACTAGCTAGCAGATCCCCTTCTCAATGGAATTCGCCCCCACAGATTCCCAATGCGGAGATAAAACGCGTGTCAGACACGACAATGCCATGGATCATGTGTCAAATTGTGACTTGCAGTTCATGCTGCTCAGGGTGCTCATGGGGCTGCTGCTGCTGCTGATGCTGCTGCTGCTCGAACTAGTTACCTGGGAGACTCCTCGACGTCAGCGTCAGCCCCAACACTCTACGATGCTCAGCTTGGGGCGACGGCAAACGGCACACGCAAATGCACTTTTTGATTGCCTTTGGCTCTGGCTCTGGCTCTAGCACTGGCACTGGCACTGGCTCCATCCTCTTATATCCACCCTCATTCTCATTCCCATCCCCATCTTCATCTATATCTATATCTGTTTCTGTCGCTGGCTTTTCTTATCTGGCTTTGGGTGTTATTCTTATGAATAGTCGAGCGATGTGGCACGGACACAGCTGACACAGACTCTGAGTGTGTTGTTGCATTGTCGTTTTATTTGATGTTGGGGTAAAAGCTTTTATCAAAAATCGTATTGCATGCAAATTAGATTCCTCTCCGATGTTACTGTCTTGCCTTTGTTCGGCAATCTAAAACTATATACTCGTACATTGCCATTCAGATGATGCCATTGTCGCGCTGGCTTGCTTGCCGGCTCTCTTCCCTCTTACCTCTTCCCGGCTGCTGCATCTGCGGGCCTGCTGATAAAGATACCGACGACATGCACACGACAATGCTGCCTGCCACACGCTGATGATTCAGACATTGCAACCAAAAGCAGTCGCCGGGATGATGATGCTGCTGCTGCTGCTGCCGATGCTTCTGCTGCTGCTGCTTGGTCTTTTGTCGCAGGTCTCAATTGACTTGATAAACTTCTTCCTACAGTTTTTTTTTTTTCAATTCCGTCGTACGCTTTTGCTTGTTAACGTCAACTGGCTCGCACACACACACACACACACAGAGTGCCACGGAGATAGAGCGACATGGGATGGGTGGTAAGCAGAGGAGACAGTCACAAAGATGCAGGCGTAAAATGAGTTCATTTTTTTTCTGTGGACTCTATCGAGCACGTCTTATCTGGAGTCGCATACGTATTTGGCCGTGGCAGGCAGGCAGTCAGGCTGGCGGGGAGTGTGGGAGTAGATGTGGAGTCGCCACCAGACTCGGTATCAGAGTCGGAGTCGGAGGCTTAAACACACTTGAATGCATTTCCATTTCATGGCTATGGCTTCATTGCCGCCAAATGTCGCCGTCTGCCGCTTTGTCTGGTGGCTATGCGCCAAGTTGCCAAAAGAAGAAAAAAAAAACCGTCTCTCTGTCGCTGCCCCAAGCACTACTGGCTGTTTGTGTAATAGCGTTCATCGAAGCTTAAGGTGTATAAATCACACACAATGCGGTCTTTTGTAGTTTCAGGCGACACTCACAAAGGCACACACACACTCACATTGGGAGAGTGGGACACACACACACAGACAGAAGAGAGACTGCAGTCCGCAGTGGGAAAAAGCGCGCAGCTTGATTTTTCTCGTTTTTCTTTTGGGGTCTAAATTATGGCCGTGGCGTTCCGCTTTAACACTGTGAACAGAGCCGCGTGTCTGGGGCAGCTGGTCTCGGCTTCCGCCGCCCGGCATTTAAATAATAATAAAATCATAATTTATTTTTAACAATTTGTTGCACTGTTTGTAATCATTTGTTAACTGTCCGGGCTTAGGACCCTCGAATAGTTCCGCTCGAGAGCGACGAGGCGTTTAAGCCGCTTAGCAATAATCACAACAACAGCAACAGCAGCAGCAGCAGCAACAACACCAACAAAATATCTTAACAATGAAGACAATGCTGGAGCAACGGCTGCCACTTGAGGCGGCCAGCGGCAGCAGCAGCACAGTGCTCTAATGCCCTCTGATAAATAGTCAAAATATTTAAGCGGCATATTTAAAATCAAATAAACACATCAGCCAACAATCAAAAGCTTGCTGAACTGTAAATTGAGCTTAGTTGCGCTACATTTGAGTCTCGACTCCAGTGCGAGTGTAGTCGGACGCCCCGGGGCCTTCGATGGAAGTGC